CCTCCCAGCGGATATATTTCCATGTCTAGAGTTAGTTTTGGTTGTCATGCTGGGTAGGTCACAACTGGTGCTACTGGCTTGCAGTGGGTCAAAGCCAGGGATGCCACTAAACATCCTACAATGCACAGGCACCAAAAATAAAAGATTATCCTGCTCAAAATGTCGTTAGTGCCAAGACTGAGAAACCCTGCTCTGATTTCTAGCTACATACAAGTCTATAAGGTTAGGCTTGGAAACTGCCATGTGCAGAACCATTTGGCACTGAACTTCTAGGAGTAGCTGTGCTTTCTTTCCTTCTATTGGGGAGTGGGGGTTGGGGCATTGCCATGAAACAGCCACAACTTGGGCAGGAATATACAGAAAGAAAGTGGGAGGGGAGATTCCCCCCTTCCCCAAATTTACTACCAACTTTTAGACAGTATGTTGCAGTACAGCTATTGAATGCCTTTCTGCCTCTACAAGATAGTGCCACCTTTTTATTTTTTGGAAAGCAAATAGAAACTTATTATTCTTGTAGTTTATAAAATGCAAAGTTTCGTGTGGTGAAAGTTGAATGTCGTTGAGTTTTTAAAGGTCTCCTCCCCAATTTCATGTTTTTCAGTAGTAGTCTTTGGAATATTTACTGTGTCAACAAAATACTGTAGTGGTGACTCTGTCCAGAAAAATTGACTGCCTTTGTTTTACTGATTTATTTTTTGAGAGAGAAATCTGAATAGTTTTATTTGATATATTTTAAAGAATTGATATTAAATTTTTTTAAAATGTGATGATGGCATTGTACTTCTCTCTTTTTTTAAGTTATAGATGCATACTGAAGAATTTACAATTAAAATATGACATCTGGGATATGGTTTAAATAAATAAACCAAGGGAGAGGGAGGAGGGAAAATTGGCAGTATATAGATGAAAAAAAATTGGCCATATGTTGCTAACTGTTAAAGGGGGTAACGGGTGCATGGCAGTTGTTTTACTATTCGCTCTTCTTTTGTATACTTTTGAAGGTTTCAGTAGTATGCTTATAAGAAAAGAATAGCTGGGAAATGCTTTATTATACAGATGAAGGTAAGACAGTACATTCTCAAACAGAAAAAAATTCTGCAGGTATAGGTATCTTCTTAGTAATTCATTTTTTGTATTTAATTAAATTGCATAATTAGAAATTCTTTTTTACTGTTTTAGGATGGATAATAAAAAGCAGGTCAGCAAACATTTCCTGTAAAGTGTCACATAGTAAATATTAGATTTGGGGGTCATATGGTCTCTATCACGACTACTCAGCTCTGCTGTTATGGTGTGAAAGCAGCCATAGGCAATGTGTAAACGAAGGAGCATGGTTGTGTTCCAATAGAACTTTACTTATAGACACTGAAATTTGAATTTCATATAATTTTCACATTTCACAAAACACTCTTTTTGTTTTTGTTTTTGTTTTTAGCCATTTAAAAATACAAAAACCATTCCTAGCTCACGGGACATACAAAAATAGGCAGTGGGCCAGAACTGGGCATGAGCAGTAGTTTGAAACTTCTGATATAAATAGTTAAGTTTAATTTTTTTATTTAATGTTTAGATAGAAAATTATTTTCTCAACATAGAAACGAAGGAAAACATTGCAAATTAAATTAAAAGTCAATTGATGAGGAACAAATTCAACACTCAAAGATTTACATCCTTGATGCAAAAAGAACTCTTAAAAATGAATTAGAGGGCTGGCCCGGTGGCGCACTGCTACAGTGCGCCACTTGGGAGAGTGACGGCACTCCCGCCGAGGGTTCGGATCCCACATACAGACCGGTTCCTGCTCACTGGCTGAGTNCTGTGTTGGGCTTCTTGCAGCCCTGGCTTCTCCTCCTCCCTTGGGGCCTCAGCCTGCACCCGCTTTGTCCCTATTGACTGCCAGCACAATTAGAGGCCCAACGCCTCCCCCCCCACCCCGCCCCAGATCCCCATAGCCCAGGGTTCTGTGTGAAATGCGTGGGTCTACAATTCCTGCCAGGCTTCCTGTCCCTGTCAATTGAGATGTGAGTCCTCCAGCCTGTTCACCATACCCTCTCCCCCTCTCCTCCTTTCCCCTGCACACACAGCTCTGTGCTGCCTCCCATGGACATGAGCTCCCACCTCTGCATACCATCCTCTCAGCCCAGGGGAGCCCCTATTTCCTTCCCGACAAACTCACTCAGGTTGCATTCATTTCATGCCACTCTCTGCCTTAAATACTCTCCCCACCAGTCTTGTCCTATTCACGAGGATAGGGACTGATTTACCTACAAGGAACATGGGACCTTCAGGGACAAAGTTTACACATCATCTTTTATCACTCTCCAAGCTGAGTTGAGGCAGGAGCATGTGCCGTTTCCCAAAGTGAATAGGAATGGAGTCTCTGGAATACCCATTTTCCATTTTTGCCCCTTCTCCTCCACCATGGTCAGATTTCTCAGGAAACACTCAAGAAGAAAACATTGGGACATTATTAACTAGTAGGTGTAGAGGTTGGCTCTATGACCTATGAGACAGGTCAGTTGTGATAAGGGGATCTTGGGGAGATATTCAGCCTGTTTCAGCTTCCCTTTTTTAAATATGAAAATGTTGTTTAAAAAACACACCTCATGGTACAACCCCTCACCTTATAGTTTTTATATTTAGTCTTATTTATTTTTCCTTTATATTCCTAAATCTAACATCACACACATGCATTAAATGAGATGTGCTTATGTGTGTGTGTGTGTCTGTGTGTGTGTATACACATATACATACTCACACACATATTCATTGACATAGAAGTCCACAAGATACATTATTTGGTGAAAAAATACACATTATAGAACAGCACTTACATTTGATCAATTTTAGCTATACATACATCTATCTGGGTATATAGGTACAGGGAAATATCTAGAAGGACATTCACCAAAGGGCTGACAATGGTTATCTAAGAGTGGAGAATTTCCGGTAACTTGTACTTTAGTTTTTGTATTTTTTGAAGGTTTAACAAAGATACTCCTTTCATAAAAAAGAATAAAGGCATGAAAGAAATAGACACAGAGAACATATCTTTAGGCAGGCAGAGGAGGGAGCAGGGACAGAGGTCAGGCTATCCCCCTTCACTGTGTTGGTATGCAAGACCTCTTCTTCCCAAAGGAAAACTGCTTTGTGGATTAATTCATGCAGTTAGAAGCCAGCTCTCCCACCTCCTGGCCTCTGTGTTCCCCATCACCAGACTGAATACAGCTAAGGGTTCGTTTAGGGCTGGGTCTAGCCCTTTATTGTGACTCAGAGAGGGTCATTGTGTTCTCCAGGGACCTCTTTTGATCTTTCTTCTGTATGTGTCAGCTACTGCAGGGTGATGATCAGATTCTCAAAAACTTGGGCCGTGTTGCTCTCGTTGCCACAGGTTTCTTTTGAGTGGACCTCCTTGCCACAATATGAACAGCGAATTGTGAATTTTTGCTTCCTGGCTGTATGCATATTCCCAGGACCATCAGTCTTATACCCAGACCTACCACTGGTGGAAGGAGACTGAGCTCCAGAATTGTTGGTGGAATCAATGACCAGCCCTTGATCCTGAGATCTGGCCCTAACCGGAAGAGAGGGATACCTATGGATGTCAGTGGATGGTCCTGAGACTCCTCCAGGATCACATCCTCATCTATGTCATCAGGGGTATCATCTGTCTCTATCACATTGCAGTCAGCACTGTGGATCGCTATTGCTGGAGGCCCTGAAATGCTGCAGGGCTGGCTGCCCTCTCCATTATTGGCTCATCTTTTTTGGGCCACTTCTGTTTAATAAAAGTGTCCCCCCTACCCTCTTCCTCCCTTATCATCCTGATTAACTTCAGAAAACTGGGAAGACACTCCTGCTCATCTGCATACACCCTCAGAACATCCTTAAGCCTGAAGCTCATGTCCTTACTCAGCTCAGTGTTTAGCAGGAGCTGGCACAGGCGAGTCTTTCTTGGCTATGATGTTTGCCTGAATAACATTCTGGAGCTGCACCTCTAAATGGATCACATAAAGGGAGGCTTTCTCCCCTTGTGCCTGCATGGTGTTAAAAAATTTACCATGAGCAGTCACACTGCTTTCAGTCTCCCCAAACACCAATTTCATAACCCTCAAAAAAATCTGCCACATTTAGGTTGGTGTTAGCTGCCTGGAGCAAATGCATGGCCTCCTGGGCAAGGCCCCTAGAGGTTTTCATCAAGCACTCGAGCTTTTCCTCCTCAGACATATTCCAACCTGGCAGAACCTCATTTACTTGGATCAGCCGGTTTTCAAAGGTTTCTACCCCCTGGGCTGGCACCACCCTCCCTGAGAACAACTTTATGTTTCTCTCTGCCACGTTGGCTATTAAGGACCAAGACTCCTCCCCTGAGACCTCAGCATGGAGAGTGGCAAGGGTGCGTTCTGCCATCAGCTGTTACTCACACATGCAATGATGCTAGCTATGACTGACAACAATAAAGGTATCTGGATATAACAAAATGCTTAGGCTTCTTAGAAAAGTCTAATCTTCAGGAATCCTTAAAGCAACGTCCCTGGGCTGTGCCTTCCTTGTACTTCAGTAGGGACTGTAAAGAAGAAGTTCAATAAGGTAGTAGGATGCGGGGAAGCATTTTCTACCTTCCTGAATGCCCTGCAGTGCATCTTCTGTCTGCCCACTATCTTAAAAAAGCCCTGCAGGAGACTGGCTACTACAACCTCTAGGAGCTAGCAAATGTCCCTATGCTAGCAGGGCGTTTCTCAGAGCCACATCCATTCCCTCCTGCCATCCTTCAGGAGGGGTGGCAATGGTTTGCTTCGAATTCTAGTTGTAATAATCAGTGTTTGGAGCTGATATTGGGTTCTCAAAATAGACCTCGATAGCGTAAATCTCAGACTTATGGTCACACATTAAGATCTTCTTTAACCTCACAGTCTCAGTTCTCATCCACACCCCCTTGTAAGAGTTTTCCCCATTATTTTTCAGATTCTTAGGTGAGCTCGGAAACTACCACTTGCCTTTATTTCACTTCCAGCCTCTGCAACAGGTGCCCTTGGTGAGAAAGTTCACCTCAGGGTATGGTCAACCTCTGGGTACAGTCAACCTCTGTCCACCAGGGTCACAGATCCCAGTCCTCAGGGCATCAAGACTGCGCCTGGCTGAGGGGAGTGAAGGGAAGGGTCAGAAGCAGACTCTCCCTTCATACTGCTACCCCCTTGTTGGGAAAATGGAATAATCTAATCAGGTCCCCTGCCTTAGGGAGGTTTGGGGGTGGCGAAGTGCATTCTTTGTAAACAAATTGTGTGTGGGTGGAGCTAGTGCGCTTGCCAGTTACCTATTCCACAGACCTGCAGACCTGCATGTGAGGGGTCTGGGGACCCTGCCTGGCATGTGAAGGGTTTGTGACCCAGTCTGTGAATGGGCTTGAGGGGTTTGTGAGCTCCAGACCCAGTCCTAGCTCGACAATTGACCCAGTCGGCAGGATTACAGGCAGGTAAAAGAGTTCGACACCCCTTTCCACCGATTCCGCTGTCGCCAGGTGGAAAATTCCCTCTCCAACCTGCTGAATACAAGCCCAACGGGCGGGCCCTCCCCTCTCCCCCCTCCCCTCAATTACATTCTCCCCCGGAAACCACCGGCCTACCAGCTCTGCAATCAGCTACACAGAATTCAAGTTCGGATTCAGCTTTCAGGGCCGGCCACAGCGAAAGGAAATAGGAGTTGGATAAACTCCCACCCACATATCCCTTCCTAGGAAGAGATGAGGAGATGCAGAGGGGGTTAAAGGCAGACAGCTTGAGGTTATCCTTCCCCACCCCTTGCCACCTCCTTGAAAACGCCCCTCCAACCCCCAATCCAGGCACTCCTTACCTAGTCGGCAGCATCCAGGTGAACCCCACCTCCTCCTTCAGGGCAGCCGGGCCACGGGAGTGCTCCTTCACCTGCCTCGCAGCGATCGATTCTCCAACCCGGGAGCCATGCAGAAACGGTAGGACTTGCCCCGCCTCTCTCCGCCGGTCAATCACTCTCCCTTTCCTTACCTGCGCTCCGCTGATAGGCAGCGGATGCTCCGGCGTCACCAGCTCTATGTCATCTTCGGGTCTCCGCGGCCCTGCAGGGGAAAAGGATGACGCCTCCTCGGCCGCTAAGCGACCCGGTGCTGCCCAACCGACCAATGGACCGAGCTGCTTTTGCACGGCGGCCCAGAGACGGGTAGCGCGGTTCCCAAGGCCGCCACAGCTGTCCCCGCCCTCCAATTCGGCCCTCCCAGCCGTTGCGGCGGCTCTCGGTCTGCCCATTGAGGCAAAAGAGCGTGATGAGCGGGGCTGCGCGGCCAATCAGCGGGACGCGGGGGCGGCCTCCCCAGGCAGCCTCCCGCGCGAGGCCACTGCTATCGAGAGGGGACAGCCGGCCGGCGGGTGCTGCGGCAGACGGGCGCGGGAGCCTGCGCGGCGTCAAGTGCAGCTTGGGCGCGCGGACCAGGTCTATTTAACATTCTACCCGTGAGTTTGCTGCTTCTTCCTCGCTCCCCTTCTCCCTGTCCCCTTCTGCCTTAGCTTTCCTCCGCGTTTTGAGACCGGATGCCTTAAACACGAGGTAGAACAAAAACCAAGTGAACAATGAGAGTTCCATACTTTTGTGTAGGGGGAAGGGGGGAAAAGCATTTCCCGAGCACTTTCTATGTGCAAATGCGCTTGCACGAACATCCTATTTATTCTCAGCAGCCTTTTGAAAGAGGTAGGAGTCAGTTTGCCCATTTAGAGGGGACTTAAGCACCTAGGTAGTGTGGTTAGGAAGTCCAGAGCTAAGAGCCCACAACCCGGGTCGACATGTCTGACTTAAAAGGCTGTCACATTAAGGGTTAGTGGAGAAAAGCCAAAGCCGGCTTGGGAGGACCAATTTGGGACTGTACAGAATTAGTGAACAAGGGCTGGTATCTCCATTTTACAGTTGAGGAAACTGAGCAACAGAGAGGTTAGGCGTCTTGCCCTGTATCATGCAGCAAGTAAGTAACAGCATCCGATTTTGCACCTCATTCTTTTCTCTAGATGCCAACTGTGCCTTGCTGTGCTGCCTGGAGAGCACTTTTACATAGGTAGTCTCAAACCATCTCAGTAGCAGTCTAAATGTGATGGTAGTGCTGAGGGAGGGGGTGAGAAGGCGGTGGAGAGAGGGGTGAGGGAAGAGGAAAGCAACTTTTATGGTACCCATTGTACAGAAGAGGAAACTGAGGCACTTTCCCTTCTTTACACTATGACAAACTGCCTGTTTATAAAAATAACATTATTTCTGCAGCCCTTTATGACCCCAAAGGAGAAAAGTTTCAGAGAGTTGAAATGACTTGCCCCAAATTACAAGGTAAAGCAACCATATCTCTGATTTTGGACCGTGTCTCTAAATCCAGAACCTATGCTGTTAACCAAAGTATGGATACAAGGCCAGCTGCCTCAGCATCATTTTGGAGTTTGTTAGAAAGACATGTTTCTGTGCCCTACCTCAGGGGGATTTTGATATACTAGGACTAGGGATGAAAAGTGTGATTTATATTCTTAACCAGCACTGTAGTCGATTCTGAAGTGTAGAGAGGTTTCTGAACCACTCTTTTAAACACCACATCATGCTGAAAGTTATAAGTATATGGGCCTGCCATCAGTGTACCTGACCACAGTATATTTGTCCTGAAATGTAACTCCAGAGCAGAGGTTCCTACCAGGGGTCCTTCCTGAAACCGTATGCAAAGAATTTGAACTCTGTACATTTTTCTGAGTTCATAGCTTTGTAGATTTTTAAATGGGTGTGTGGCCCCAAAATGTTTAAGAACCACTCCCCAAAAAGCTTTCTTTATAACATCTTTCTCCTTCAACTTGTGCTGGAGGAAGAAGTGTGGGAAATGGAACACAATTGAATCTAGCCCCCAAACCACAGCCTCTGCCACTGAGATAGCTCTTTCATTTCCTGGCTCAAGGATAGGTTGCTAGGTTGCCCTTCTGTGAGCTCTTCAGGAGACTTCTCTTTTGCTGGAGCTGGCATCACTGGCCCTAGAGAAGGAACAACTCCATGGAAACAACATGCAGGGCTGTCTGGAGCGAATGGGCCATGAAGCCAGTGGCTGGAAAACCTGCCCCTTTTTCCCAGACTTCTGGTTCTAAGAGAGCAGAAATTACTTCCCTTATGTAGAGTATGGCTAGAAGACTCCTGTGGGACTTGTTCTTGACTCTGATGCTTGGAAGCAAAGGGACAGACTGATTCTCTTCAGTTGCTATTGGGTTTATCCTTAGCCTGCCAAGGTACTTCACCTGCTCTTTTCTGCCTTCTTATTTACAAACCCCAATATCTAGAGTTCCTTAGAGTAAAAAATCCTGATTTGGAGACAAAGTGCCTTCCAGCTTGGGATTGTGGCCTTTCTCTTGTGGATGGAACAGTGGGGTAGTGGAGGGTATTGGAGGTACAGTCAAGACAGGTTGCTCACTTTGCACAGTCAGGGATGATGCTGGCAGTAGCTCTTGGGTTTCCTTCAAACTTTTGCTTCTGCTCTCCCTTACTATGACCTCTGACCCTGGCCTCTCAGCAGGCTCTTGTGCTATGATTAAATTGACTTTATGGCCAAATTAGTTATCTGCAATTGGACCTGGTGAGGGGTTGGGGTGGTATCAAATAGAACCAAGGATAAATCTCAGAGCTCTGACAAAAGTAATGAAAGGAAATGGATTGTGTAAAGGTTCCAGGGTTGGGCCATTGGAACAAAGGGAGGGTCTCTTTGTACAAGACTGGGAGGAGCATTTACAAGCTGTCTCGAAGTGGATACAGAACATCCCTTAAATCTGGCCTCGTGTGGGAGTGTGTTCCAAGTGATGGCTCTAATGAGAACGTATTTTCCAATTTCAACAAATAAGTCTTAAAAGCTTGAAGGTTCAGATAAAGCTTTCAGCTAAAACAGTAATAGCTATAATAGCTACCTTTGGCTGCCTGCCTCTGTTGTGCCAGGAACTTTCCATCTGTTATCTCATTTAAGTTTCTCAGCAACCCTGTTGAGACAGCGGATAGGGAAACAGTTTCCCATTTTGCAGATAGGGAAACAGTTTCAGGGAGGTTAAGTAACTAGTGTAAGGCCACACAACTTATAAGCGGAGGCACTGGGACTCTAGTCTAGGGCTGTTAACTCCGAAGCCCATAAAAACTCTTCTTTTTCCATCTTCCAGACAAGCAATTTAAAATGCATTCTGCAGATGACCCAGTGCTTTAGACCAATTTCAGCCTTTAGGGCTATTTAGTTATAATCTTTCCTGTAATGTCACTGAGGAAGGAGACGCTAGCCAGGTAAAGAAAGAAGATTTTATTAGCAAGTGGCAAGCGGACCTGCCAGGCTGAGCCGAAAAATGGGGTCAGCACAGAGAGGCAGTTGGGTGTCTTCTTTTATAGGGTAAAGATTTGCATCTGGCCTAGCCTAGGAAGATGGTTACAATTGTTTCATTCCAGGTACAGCTTGCTCATGGGTACAGAGACTTAGGGAGACAGAAACCTTGGGTTAAGGAGGGGAAACAGTTGCAGTGTTATACTCTGGGTACAGCCCGCTCAGCCTGCTCATGAGAACAGAGACTTAGGAAGGTAGACACTTGGAGGAACGAAACTGAAGAGTGGGAGCTTTCTAAAAGTAAGGTTCTCGGTTCTAGAGACCTAACATTACCTTTATTCCTAGTATCTCATTTTTAAAAATGACACTACTAATTTAACTTGTGGAGCAACTTATATACCAGATACTGTGCTAAGCACTTTATGTATTTTATCTCACAACCTTCACGACAGTCATTTTACAGATAAGGATACTGAGGCTCAGAGAGTGAAGAGACTTGGCCAACATCATAAAGCTAGGAAACTGCAAAGCAAAATTCAAACCTGGGGCTCTCTGACTCCAGAACCCACATCTGTACCCTACAACACACTGCAGTGGGACAAACAAAAGTGGCCCCCACTCTAAATCGGCTCCTGTCTGGCCGCTGCACCTCTGTCTTCTCAAGGCCTGCAGCCAGCCCCGTGCTCCACTCACACTTTTAAGCCTCGGAGCCTAGAACGCCAGCCATCACTCCTCCACCTACCAGAGCCTACTCATCCAGTCAGATGCTTTTCCTCAGAGAAAATTTTTGGGTGCTCCCTGTCCCAGGAGGACTAAATTGCACTTGTCTTTCGGCTTCGACTTTGAATAGTGTGCCCTTTATTTTGTCTTTCAGTATAGTTTAGGTTGTTGTTGACCAGTCTTCCCACTAGATCCCCAAGCCCTTGAGAGCAGGCACCAGGTCCTATTCATCTCTAGTTCCACAATGATTTACCCACGATGATTTCGCAGGTGACCTATACATGTTTGTGAGCTGACCAAAGGAATGGCTGAAGAATGCTCTGAATGAGCAGACAAATGTGGGGCTGAATCTTGGGGTGGTCATAAAGGCTACCCATATGGACTAGACTGGCCAGGGGTGTCTGGAATCCCCAGTCTCATTTTACTAGGCTGTAAACATAAGAGGTAGATCATAGGACGCAGGTGATAACTGCTCAAGGCCAACTTCAGGCCCATTCGTTGGTCTCTACTTTGGAATTCATTTTAAGGGGCCAGGATCTCCCAGATTATTTGTTTTACCTTTGCATTTATGGAAGAAATGTCTTCCCTGCATCCCATGGGAACACAGGATTTGTTGCAACTTGGCACTTTATCTGGTTCTGGCTGGCCTGGGATTGTCCTGCAGGAGCATGTGCTATGTGGAGACACATGGTAAAGTCGGGAGGCATTTTGTTTTTTATACCTTTTTTTTTTTAATCAATGCCACCATGTTATGGATTCTCAATCACTCTGTCTCATTTTATGTTATTAATCTGGGCAACCTTCTGAGGTAGGTCTTATTGTTTCCATTTTGTAGCTGAAGAAAACACAACTGAATTAAGTGTCTTGCCTAAGGTCACAAAACTAAGTGGCAGAGGCAGAATTCAGGCTCGCATCTCTCTGTCCCCAAAGCCTGGCATCTTAATAGAAAAATACATGCGAGAAAAAGTGGACTACCCCTCCCCATAAAATACAACACATTAGATTTATAAAATGATGAATGATACATTTAAGGTAAGGTGTTTCTAAATTATTGTTCACCTTTAATTCCTCAAAATGATTTTCAAAAATGGCAGAAGAAATCGGGTTTGGAAAGTACAATTTCTCTATCAACTATTGGCCCCATGTCAACCTCCTGTGACATACAGTATGAGCATTTTGTCCTGTCTGCTCTTTTTCTGAGGTGGATGAGGTTCCAGGATGTCAGTGAATTTCTAAAATGCACACAGCAACTTGATAACAGAACCGGTGCTTAGAATGCCGGTCTGCCAAATCCTAGCTCAATTTTCTTTCTGCTAAATCAGCCTACCTCATGGAGTTAGTGAACACATGTTTATAAAAAGGTGGGAGGAAGTAGAATATTATTGCACTCTGAGGTAGAACAGGGGACAAACATTTACCTCACAACCTATCCTTATTTAGGTGCAGATAAGACTTGGGAAAGAAGACCCTTGGTAGGAAAGATGAAGGGTGTTGGGGGCTCCTGTGCTCTGGGGCCTGAGTGGAGCTCCCTCCTGCCAGGGTGTTGGGAAGGGCTCCCCTTTGGCTCTGGAGAGGTGGAGGTGGCCTCCAGGGACCAGGGGTACTCCAGAGAGAGGCAAG